GGGGTTTGCTCGTGACACCACAAGAAGTTGTTCGTTCGAGAACGAATCATGCAAAGTTAAAAGGTCACTGGTGTGCTTAACAAGGACTCGAGAAAGGTGATCTGCCACCACATTCTCGGATCTCTTCTTGTCTCAGATCTCTAGGTCAAATTCTTGAAGCAATAAAATCTGTCTAATCAACCTTGGTTTGGTCTCTTTCTTTGATAATAAGTACCACAAAGCAGCGTGATCAATGAAGACTATGACCTTGGAAACTAGGGAATAGGACCGAAATTTATCTAAGGCAAACACCATGGCTAACAACTCTTTCTCGGTGGTAGTGTAGTTCAATTGCGCATTTGAGAGAATGCGACTAGCATAATAAATAGCATAGGGTGCTCTATTTACCCTTTGGCCCAAAACTGCCCTGACAGCATAGTCCAAGGCATCACACATGATTTCAAAAGGAAGTGACCAATCCAGTGATTTCATGATTGGGGTGAAAGTAAGGGCTGTTCGAAGTGTTTCGAAAGCTTTCAAACATGCATCACCAAAGACAAAAGGTGCGTCCTTAGCAAGTAAACTACTCAAAGGACAGGATATTTTGCTAAAGTCTTTGATAAACCAATGGTAAAAACTTGCATGCCCTAGAAAAGAACGGACTTGACTCACAAAAGTGGGTGGAGGAAGGCCTGCAATGAGGTCAACCTTAGCTTTGTCTACCTCTATACCTCGAAGGGACACAATGTGTCCCAACACTATACCCTCACGAACCGTAAAATGGCTCTGCTCCCAACTCAAAACCAAGTTTGTCTCAATACATCGCTCCAACACTTTAGTCAAATTTCTAAGGCATTCCTCAAAAGATGGTCCAAATACTAAGAAATCATCCATGAAAACCTCTAAAAATTTCTCCACCATATTAGAGAAAATGGCCATCATACACCATTCAAAAGTTGCCGATTCATTGCATAGCCTAAAGGGCATGCGCCTATAAGCAAAAGTGCCAAAAGGGCAAGTGAATGCGGTCTTTTCTCGGTCAACAGGGTACACCAGAACTTGATTATACCCCGAGTAACCATCAAGAAAACATTAGAAACCTACCCTACTAACCTCTCAAGGATTTGGTAAATGAATGGCAATGGAAAATGGTCCTTTCTAGTTATGGAATTCAGTCTCCTATAATTAATGCATACTCGCCACCCAATGGTGGTTCATGTAGGGACTAACTCTCCTTGCTCATTCCCAACAACAGTGATGCCCGATTTCTTGGGCACCACTTGTGTGAGACTCACCCACTTGCTATCCGAGATAAAGTATCTAATACCCGCATCCAACAACTTCAAAATCACACTTTTCATTACCTCTTTTATATTAGGATTTAAGCCTCCGTTGCATTTCACGAGAAGGTTTGGTGTCCTCCTCTAAATGTACATAATGCATGCACACGGAGGGATATATCCCTCTCAAATAGGCCACCGACCACCCTATAGCACTTCGATGTGCCACGAGAACACTCATTAATTAACTCTCCTGCTCTGCAGTTAAGTTAGATGCAATGATGACTGGTAAAGTATCCTAAGGCCCTAAAAATGCGTACTTGAGTGTGGCCAGAAGTAGTTTCAACTCAAGTGTAGGTGGTGTGACTAAGGATGATATGGCAGACTCTCTAGATAGAAGAGAAAGGGACTCAGACTGGGCTTTCCACGAAGGAAAATCCAGTGTAGAAGAAGAATCAAGTAAAGCCTTCACTTCCTACTGACCTGTCAATACCAAAATCTTCAAACCCAAAATGAGCCTAACAAGCCTCTAAAGGGTCCTCTACGAGAATGAAGGGTAAAGCCTCCTCTATTATCCCACCCACAACATCCACAAATAAGCACTCCTCTCTTTTAGGGGGTTGTTGGGATGCTTGGAAAACATTGAGTTTCATTTGCATATTCCCAAATGAAACATACATAACCCCGGTACGACAATTTATACATGCATTAACCGTAGCCAAGAAAGGTTGACCTAAGATCACCGGGATTTGTTTTCTAGAGTTGGCTACCGGTTCTATATCTAAAACCACAAAATTAACAGGAAAATAAAACCTATCAACCTTTACTAGCACATCCTCAATCATGCGACGTGGCAATTTGAGAGACCGGTCAGCCAACTAGAGTGTGACAATAGTGGGTCTCAACTTGCCAAGATTGAATTCCTCGTACACAAAGTACGGCAACAAATTGACACTAGCCCCTAAATCTAACAAGGCCCTATTAATGAAATGATCCACTATAATGCATGCAATGGTTAGGAAACCCGGGTCTTTAAGCTTGGGGGGTGTCATTCAATAAAATGGAGCTTACTTGCTCCGTGAGTACGACTTTTTGGGACACGTGTGTCCTAGATTTACGCTTTTGAGTACATAGGTCTTTCAAAAATTTTGCATAGAAGGATACTTGTTTAATTGCCTCCAATAAGGACCCACTCCTTATTCTTCAGCAAATAGATCAAGGACCCATCCTCATGGTAGTGGACGAGGTAAACGGGGCGAACGTGGCTACGAACATGGCGGAGGGGGTTTGAAACTTAGCATCGAAGACATGGACAAGGCCAGCAGTGACAAAGTAGTCGTTAGAGCGGAAAGAGGCAGAGGTGGCAATGTTGAAGAATGAAGAGATGGTGGATTTGGGTTCTAGGGGTTGGGAAAAGAAGATTGTGAGGTGGTGGAGAGATCCAAATTAATCTATACAATGTTAGAGTGGAAATCACCGGCGGCGAAGTCAGAAAGTGAAGAGATGGTGGATTTAGGTTTTAAGGTTTGGGAAGGAGAGATCAGAGAGACAAATAAGAGAGAGACGAAAGACCCAAATATGTAGAGAGAGAAGAGATAAGAGTGAAGGTAAAGTTAGTATATTTTTTGAATAAAATATAATTTAAAATGTAAGGAACCTTATCTAATAGAAAAAATAATACTACACAAAGTTAAAAAGGGATGTTAGACTAATTTTCTCTAGACATTTTAAGTTGTCTTGCTTTTTTATTTTTTTATTTTTAAATTATTACGAGTTTTTAGTGAGCCCATTACAAAAATGAAAAATCATCACTTTTTTCTTTTTTGGGGTGACATTTTGTATGCCATTGGAGCAAGCGCTCTAAACAACGTCCCTCCAGCATTCATCCTTCAAACTGTCTTGTAGTGTTGATGGTCATTTTTTGACCATGCCTACAATGTCATTATTTTGTAATTTTTAAAAATCTTGATACATAATACATCACGATCAAGGGCATTGGCCGTTCAAAACAAACTAGTTTGAAAAACTTCTCATTTTGTTTATTTCTTTCTTCAGTAGAAGGTTAAAGAAAGGAAGATTTGAAGAATTTTTCACTTTCGTGGCTTTTATTAATAAACTCTAGTCCCTACTTGCAATCTTAAAATCTGCAGCAACTGAACACATATAGTCTACAAATACAATAGTCTCAATTATGGCTTTATTAGTATTTTTTTTTTTTCTAACCGATTTACATGTTGAAGTAGGTCACTAAAAGCAGCTAGTACAGAGAAAAAAAGCGCAAATCTGCTTTCATAGATCTTCATGCCACTCGATATCATAGTTACTCCAGTAAAACCTGTAAAAAAAACAGAAAACACATTAATATGTTTTTGTTTTGTAAAACAGATTCACATCAATGTCTATTTGAACATTTTGTGATCAAGTAAAAGAGACAATTATACCATAATCACATCCATTTGTAATAGTTTGATTCAGATCTTGCACAGAGGCCTTGTTGACAAACATGTAGTCGTGTTTCACTAGATGGATGCACTTAAGCACGGCCTGTGTATGTTCTGAACATCCTCCTGTACAGTAAACCTCCCCGTCGGCTTGGGTCACATTGATCCAACCGGCTTCTGTCACCCAATACTCGCTCCAACTACTATCCGACGTCTATCATAAGATACAAAAAATCCGTGATACAAAACTGTTTAGGACTTCTGTATGTGACTAATTTCACAAATTTTCAGCTTCCATTCACATTAGAATGAGTCTGACAATTGTTTTTTAGCAATGTTTTTCTGACATTTTTCGTCTTTTGGTCAAATTTTTTTTTTTTAAATATTCACTTTTACGTCCTACAAGGTTAGACGGACATGAAAAGTATAAATAAATAATAAATAAAATTTTTAAAAAATCCATCATAAAAAGAACAACAATGAAGCTAAAAAAAAGTTGATTTTTTTGGATATTTTTTTTTTTAATTGAACTTTTAAATTTTTCCAAAAACTTTTTACTTTTCAGATTTTCTAAACTAGACAAACCTGAAAAATAAAAATATTTGACTCAAATTTTTTAAAAATTACAAAAGACAACAAAAAAAATTTTAAAATAAAATAAAATAAAAAAAAGTGATTTTTTTAGCTGTTGCCATCAACAAGGAGATTCATTATACAAAGAACATTATTGCAAAAGTGATAATTGTGATCTAGCATAAATGATATATGATCACAGCTATCTATCATTCCTCTAAAACAAAAATTAAAAAACGAGTGAAGAGTTATAGACTATTACATTTAACAAACACTCATAGGCACTTCTTCATTGGGCAAATGGGCTCAAATTCACATTTCCTGTGGGGTCTGTGACTTCCTTGATTCCAAAAACAAATATTCCAACAATATATAACATAAATAAACAGTCTTCTCAACAAAAAATTTTAAAAATTAAAAAAAAAAATTAATTTGACATGAGGGGAGAGAGAGAGAGAGAGCTGCATTGGCACTGCAACAAAGTGCAAAAACCGTTCCAAGAACGCTGCAGAGAAACCAAATTCTTCCCTCCAGAAGTTCTGGATTCCTCCTTCTCCCAGCAAAATGCAACTCTTTAACTTAAAAAAAAAAAAACAGTTAAAATAATTTTGCTGATAAATTTTTCATAGTAAACTAACCCTAAAATCTCTTGAGAAACTCAAATATAAAAGAGACTAATATGTGAAGAAACCTATGTAGTTCATTGATTTCCACTACATACCAATTTCCAAGAAAGCCCAAAGAAAACTTTTCCAAGAAAAACCTAAACAGCCCAAAAACACAGAAGAGCATTCGAACGGAAAATCCAACGTATAGATTTATGGCCAAAGGAACGATGCCAGTAGATTCTAAATTATCCAAGGACAAGCTGGGCCAAGACTGTCTTGTTCTTGCCTAATCATAAACTTATATCTCACAGTAATTTTCAAATCCTTGGTGTTAACGACCTTTCGAAATTGGTCGTTAGTCGCAAAGGGAATTTCTTGTGTACCAAAGCACAAAACAACCACCAAGCTGGCTCATAAGCAGCCTATATATATCAACCCACTTTCATTCATAATCTCCTAATCTCACATACCACAGTTTTCTAGCCATGGCTGATCAAACCCGAGCTGTCTTCTCAGCTCTAGACAATGCCAAGACTCAACTCTACCATTTCAAGGCGATTGTCATTGCCGGGATGGGTTTTTTCACTGACGCCTACGATCTCTTTTGCATCAGTGCAGTGACTAAACTGATAGGCCGGCTATACTACTATGACCCTAAAAGTCCAGGCCCCGGAACTCTCCCACCACATGTCACCGATGCCATAACTGGAGTCGCTTTGTGTGGGACCCTGGCAGGGCAACTCTTCTTTGGCTGGCTCGGGGACAAACTTGGGAGGAAGAAGGTTTACGGGATCACTCTTGTCACCATGGTAGGATGTGCAATGGCTTCGGGCCTTTCCTTTGGCTCCACTGCTCAAAGCGTGGTCACTAGCCTATGCTTCTTCCGGTTCTGGCTAGGGTTTGGCATTGGAGGTGACTATCCACTCTCTGCCGTGATTATGTCAGAATACGCCAACCAAAAAACCCGAGGAGCATTTATTGCAGCAGTGTTTGCGATGCAAGGAATGGGGATTCTGGTGGCAGGGTTGGTGTCTATGATTGTTTCCAAGGCCTTCATGAGTGCTTTTCCTGCTCCTCAGTTTGGTGCCAACCCTCCTGACAGCCATGTGCTATCAACTCAGCTACAGGGCGATTTTGTCTGGCGAATTGTGCTAATGTTCGGTGCAGTTCCAGCCGCTCTCACCTACTATTGGCGATTGCAAATGCCGGAAACTGCTAGGTACACCGCCTTAGTCGAAGGCAACCACTCCAAGGCGGCTTTGGATATGGCAAAAGTCCTCGAAACGGACATGACTGTCGCAGTACCGAAGTCAAGGTGTCTGGTTAGCTCCAAGTCTAACTACGGCCTCTTCTCCAACGAGTTTATGAAACGACATGGGATGCACCTTCTCGGGACTACTAGCACATGGTTCTTGCTCGACATTGCCTTCTATAGTCTACAACTGACTCAAAAAGACATTTACCCGGCAATAGGGCTTGTACCAAAGGCCTCGAAAATGAATGCAATAGAAGAGGTGTTCTTGCTCTCAAAAGCGATGTTCTTAGTTGCACTGGTTGCAACAGTGCCCGGGTACTGGTTTACTGTCTTCCTCATCGATAGAATTGGCCGGTTCATAATCCAGCTTGGTGGATTCCTATTCATGTCCATTTTCATGGCGATATTGGGAATTAAATATGAAGAATTTAGAGGTTACAAGTGTACAACAGACCCAAAGAAAGATTACTGTGGAGGTAAGCCGATACTATTTGCAGTGTTCTACGGGCTGACCTTCTTCTTCACGAATTTTGGACCAAACAGCACGACTTTTATAGTTCCGGCCGAGCTTTTTCCGGCGAGGTTCCGGTCAACTTGTCACGGGATTTCGGCAGCGGCCGGAAAAGCTGGAGCAATCATCGGTGCGTTCGTGGTGCAGCAGCATACTCAAAAGGTAAGCGGTATCAGGCGGGCTATTATAGCACTTGCTGTGGTGAATTTGCTTGGATTCTTCTTCTCTTTCTTGGTGCCGGAGACGATGGGCAGGTCACTCGAGGAAATCTCTGGAGAAGACAGGTATCTTGGTGGTGGTGGTGGTGCAACTGAAGCTAATGGACATGATGGAGAGGAGAAGGCAGAGAACAAGGATATTAAGAACGCTTCAAATGCTGTTATGGTTTAGTTCGAACGCTTCAAATGCTGTCATGGTTTAGTTCTACAGTATTCATACTCGTAAGGGATTGCAAATAAAAGATATAAAGTAACAATCTCTATGGAAATAAGTACTTCAATGGATGTGATTTGTGTTCCCATTTCAAATTTCTGTCTGAGGGAATTCCTCATTTTCATACTGAAATTGAGACATTTCTTTCCTAATATATAAATAAAAAGATATACTAAAATTCTAAGAGATAGACAGCAATTCACAATCTCAAAATATTCAATACATTTCACCACCAAAGGCAAGATTTGAGAAGCAGAAAACTCACGTCAATGAAACAGAACCTGTGTCCAAGTAAAGATCGTGTTCTGCAACACAAGCACAGCGGGGAGTATTTAAAATGGAATCATATGTAGACAAATTGTTGGTAGGTGAACCCATTATGCCTTGTAATAGGCTTTCCTTGCACGGTCGAGTCCTACAAACTCGTATTCATTTCCCAAACAATTGTAAGGAGAAAAATGTATGACTAGGCTTTGTGGACCTTGTGAACAATCTGCAGCTTTATAATTTGTGAGACCCCCTCACAAAAAATAAAATAAAAAAAGAGAGGAAACACACTGAAACAGACATAGAAGAATAAGAATAAACTATCATAAGATTATAGTAAACTATTGACCAGCGTTGGTCCCACCCAAAATAAAGGGTTTTGGGAGGGGTAAATAGGATATAGACCTAACATTTCGCATAGTATGTTCGTAAGCTAACAGTAAGGTACAGACAACAAAAGATACTGATTTGTTAATATTTGAGATACAACTCCGTGATTCAAATGGTTTCTTGATTGTAGAGAAATCAATCAGTATACATCCTTTATCCACTGTGTGGAATATATAGAAACTTAAGCTGAATTGACCAACCCCTCATAATGTTCAGTTAGGCTAAAAAAAAAGCAAGCAACCTAGATATCTCAACCTTGCAATCCATAGTTTTAACACATAATTTAACAGAATGAATCATTCCTGTGGAGTAAAGGAGATGCCGGTCTCGCATAAGTGAACCCTTTGAAGGGATTGTCACTACTTTTTGGACTAGCAGCAGGAGAATCCAATACTGGCATTTTGGTCCAACGCTCCTCGAAATTGGCAACGCAGTGCTTTCCAGCAACTTCTGGGAGAAAGCTTGGCTGAATCTGCCGAGCATCCAATTTCTTCCAGTTGATTGACTTGAACCACTTGTGGCTTTTTATCTCTTCACTGCCACCCGGTCCGCTGCCAATACGCTTACTTGTTTCTTTCTGCAGCAGCTGAAGAACAAAATATATTCCCTTAGGTTGTGTTTGGATTTATGAATTTCCAATGAAATGATTTGGCACAATTTGTCCAAGAAGAATAACTCAAATTTAGATTTGATAGTTTATATATAGATTTGAAGATTGAATTCGAGACTTTTGTCATGTCTAATTTGAAATAACAATGTAACAGTAGTCATTTGGAATCCTTCATGCTAATCTTTTGAAAATACCACTGAGTCAGTGTGTTTGGTTTGAGTTTTTGAATTAAGTTTTTTGAAAATTGAGTTATTTGGTTTTCATGTTTTTTTGTTTTTAGTGAATATTTTTAAAATTTTAAACATTTTTTTTACTTTTTTAGATGCACCTTACTTAGATGTATCTAAAAAGTAAAAAACTTTGTGAAAAAATATTTTTAAAAATTAATAAATACATAAAAATACAAAAAATGTACTGAATTCTCGTATTTTTTTTGTATTTTTGGTATTTAGTGAATTTTTAAAAGTTTTTTTTCAATTTTTTTTTTTACTTTTTAGGTATATTTATGTTAGGTATGTCTAAAAATTAAAAAAAAATTTGCTCAAAATATTAAAAAAATTCAGTAAAAACAAAGAAACATGAAAAATAAGAAAATAGAATTTTCTGAAAAGTGTTTTTGAAAAATGATAACCAAGCATAGTTTTCTGTCTCTAATTTCTTCCCCTTTAATTTCTCAATACTTCCATAAGAGCTTAGTCCATTATATTTTTATGAAATTATTTTTCAAATCTTCATTTGAAATTCATCAATCCAAACAACGCCTTATTCTCATTTGCACCATGAATAACAACCAAAGCAAAGAAAGAAGAAAGAAAATTACAATACTTTATGATGTATGGCACATGCCATCCATCTTTGGTAGACTATGAAAGGCACATATGCTTATATAAAAAAAAATTATATGGGTGTAGCTAACAGTAAAATGCCATAGCCTACAAATGAGACCCTTTTTTTTTTATTTTATAAGCAACCTACAAATGAGAATTAAAGTTGCAACTTACACAATTGATGCATTCTTTTGAAAAAAACTACAATCCTACTTTAAAAACAACCAATGGTTTAAATTCAAGAGTACACTGTTTCTGAATTGATATCATCTATCTGGCCTTGGCAACTTGCAACCAGCCAGCTGAATCTTGAATATATTTAGATGGGGATCCCAAATGTGTATGGTCTGAGTAACTATCATCAATTAAATCTCAATACTAATAGTTATGCTCACTGAGAAAATAAAGATATACAGATACAAGCGAAGTAGATTACCCCTCTCAACAATGAGTGTGCCTCACTAGACAAAAATGCTGGTAGCTTCATCTTATCCTTTATTATTTTCTGCTGGATCTTCTGTCGATTTCCACCCGTGAAAGGTGGCTGCAGAGGCGGTAATCAAAAGAAAATATTAAACATTGTGCTTTGAAAGTGACTATTGAAAGACATCTAAAATGCTTAAACTAAAAATAAAATAAATAAATAAATAAGAAGAGAGAGAAGCAAGGCATACTGATTTATCAGATTATTGACAGAAAACTCTTCATGAGTTCAAAGATCTCCATCATCATTTCATCCAATCAATCATAGGTAAAGTTATATTTAGATTATGCAACTAACTGAACCTTGAATGATTCTTTGAAATCAGATTGTTTGTTTAATTAATTTTCAATGACCATCTTCTAGTGCTACTTAAAGAGGCTTGTTATTCTGCATATGCTTCTTGACACGAGCTACTTAGCAACTCGGCTATCATCCATAGAGGTCCTTTCATTCAAATTATAGGTATTTCCTCCGAGAAAAATTATGTTTCAATTGGTAACACCTTCAAACAATATGATATGAGTCTGCCTCATTGCAACTGAACATCAGTTCAAATATAGTTTCCAAGCTACATGATGTTCTGCACCATAGCAAAAGCTTTCTGGAAGGAAAAAAATGTACTGTTTTCTCCAGCACTATTGTTGAGCTTGAGTGTAAACACAGTTACTAGTTCATTATTGTTATTTGGTAATTCTGGTTACTAGTTACTGTACAAATCTTGTTTGAAGCTAAGTTTTATTATCTCTTTACTCGAAATTCAATCTCACTTCATTTCACATGTCCTCAGAAATCAAGGAAGCAAAAAAGACAGAAGTTTGTTTAAGAAAATCCTCAAGGTTCATTCAACAGGCACAAACATTTACAGCATCAAAGAAAAGCTTATTTGTTATAACCTTTCACATACTTTAGTACATCTGAAAGTAAATTAAGAAAGGGAAAGCTCAATTACAAGTGCCTACAAACACACAGAAGATATCATAATTCATAAAACATGAAAGCAGGTGCATATATATCATGGTTCACCATTGCCAATTGCCAGGGTTTCATAATGTAACAAACATTGAAAGAGCCACTCAACTACACTTCCCTTAATTCTCCCGCATACAAGATTTTTCCACCCTTGGCATCCAATAAGATGGCCAAGTTAGTTCATAAGTCAGTCAGTAACTTCAGATTAAAAATACTAATTATCACAGTTTTTTAGTTCCTCCATATAAAACAAACTCAAATCCTTGCCAAGGCATACTCAATGATCAAAAGAGTAAGAACCCAAAAAAGAAAAACTTGCATAAGAAAATCAATTCAAATGGGTCAATAATAGAGAGATACTAACCTTCCCAGTAAGCATCTCAAACAGGAGAATTCCCACACTCCACCAGTCTGCAGCCTTATCATGGCCTTTCCCAAGAATAATTTCAGGTGCCATGTATTCTAGTGTTCCACACATAGAGTTCGACCTTGTATTCTCGTTGAATCGCTTTGCCAGTCCAAAATCAGTCAACATTACCTGGAATGAACCATATCATCATGAAGTGGAATAAGGGGCAGTTATGATATTTGTCATAAGATACATATACATACAAAAACAAGGTTATTATGTGGATATGTAGCAACACAATACAAGAAGTCATCTAAAATGGTTAGGTGTAGATGTGCAGAGAATACCCCAGTGCTTCTAGCACGGAGGACTGATCCACTTCAAATTAAAGGTACTGGAAGGACAAATAACACCAAAAAGAAATGGGCCGAGCCAGTGAGAGAAGATACAATTGCCTAGATGGGGAATACTAATATAGATATAATATAATGTAGTAATAGATGGGATTGATGTTTCATGAATTTTGTTAGTGGAGTTTTAGTTGGGGTTAAGGCTTTGTTGAATTGAACTAAAAAGAGTAACACACAAGCACACCCTTCAAAGTTTGCCATCCACCCACACCCAAGCACGCACGCACACACACACACACACAGAGTGAAGAGGTCTTACATGCCCATCTGCATCCAAAAGAATATTTTCAGGTTTAAGATCTCTGTGCATTACACCATTTGCATGGAGATGAGAAACAGCAGAAACAATCTCAGCAGCATATAGACGTGCCAAATCCTCTCTGAAACAAATGAAAATTGTTTTAACAGCTTTGCGCAGCAGGCATTCTGAAAACTGTAAAGAAAAGAAACACCATGCACCTGAATAAACCTTGGTGATAAAGTTGAAAGAAAAGGTGACCCCCATTAACAAAGTCAAGCACGAGGTACAATCTATATTTGGTCTGCATAACAGACACAAGTCAATCATAACATTGATTTATTGGTCAAACTCTAAGGCAAGATCAATAGGCATTATTTTGTATTCTCAACTTAAACATTGGTAAATTTTGAACATAAGAAATCTAAAAGGATCAAACATATCTTTATGGTGAGGGCAACTGTGCAAGTCATTACCTGGAATGAGAATCTGAGCTGCACAATGAAGGGGTGATCAACTTTTGTTAATATATCCCTCTCAGTTTTCATATATTCAGCATGATTTTTCTCCATGATCTTATCCTTGCGCATAACCTTCATTGCAAATATTTCCGAAGAACCGCGCTTTCTCACCTGATACACTCTTCCAAATGCTCCTTGACCAACAACCTTCAAAATTTCAAAATCTTCTAATCCTACACTCTTATTCTTGGGAAGATTATAATCAACGTGACCAATAGATATCCCCAAAGCGGGACTATCAAGAGATACATCCAGAAGTTTTTCTAGTTCCTCTCCGCTGTCTGCCTCCACTAGTTCCAGTGAATCCTCTGTCTCACGTAAGGTAAGCTTGCTAAGCTTCACTGATTGACTAACAAAAGTTGTGGGGCCCACCAGAGAATGGGAGAGGCTGTAAATTACTGCTGGATCATCATAGATGAATTCATCTATATCAGTTGGAGCAACCAAATTTCTGGATTTTTCACTGCTGAAATCTACAGGTACTTGACCTGGTGTAGGACCAAATATATCAGAAAATTCTAACTCAAGCTGATCCGTTGAAAGAATGTCAGGGGGTCCCATTGGAAGAAGCACCTGGTTCTGGAACGGCTCTCGCATGGCACTCCCCTTAAAATTTGAGAACTGAGAGGAGACCATGTTAAATGTCAAATGAGATGGGAGAACAGCAAATGGATGTTAAAATTGCCACTTCTATGGATGAATATACCCTAAAAGCTCCAGGATACAAACTGATGAAGGACACCTGACAACGGCCTTGAACAACAGGAAATTCACGTAAATAATAGGAGTTCCAAGAAACCTTGGAAATAAGCAAACCAAAATCCAGAAAAGGAAGTTGTTCTTGTTTCCCGCTTCACAGGAAACGGTGGATGCAATGGTGCTTCTTGAATTCATGAAGATCAGACAGTCAGAGCTGTAGTTCAGGACAGAAACACCCTTAGTTCATATCAAACATGCAAAGTCAAAATATGTCCTACAGTGAAATCTGTAAAATGTTGAGAAATACATATACTAAGAATAAGAGAAACTTACGGTTGGAGGGGACAATAAATGGGAAAAACTTCACACTCAAAGAACCAAAGAGCATGCTTTAAAAAAAAAAAAAAAAAAAAAAATCTTTTTAGTCCTTTTTTAAAGAGATAACAAAATAAGAAAGAAAAGAAAAAAAGCCACAAAATAAACCATAGGAAGCACAGAAACACATCTTAGGGTGTTGTGTCCAAGGCTGAAACCAGCACTCATCTGTCCTATTATTATTATTAATATTATTATTATTATTAATTTTCGTAAAATCAGACACAATTCAAATATTTATGGGATGTATAAGTCTATTGCTTGGACACATGAGAAACACATCTAATTTCAGATGCAGAACATGTAGCAAGAGTAGAAAAGGCTTCTATGTAAGGATGCCCCTATAATCTACACTTAAAACTTTATCTCACAACACACATAGTTTGACCTAGCACTGGAATAGCTGTTTTGCACATACCCAAGAATGATGGATTCCCCCACCAACGGAATCACAAGTCAGATACATACAGGCAGGTTGTCTTGTTGCAAATGCAGCATGCCAGTCACTAAATTAAACAGAGCTACTGACTCATTCCTATACTTCATTGGTAACTACTAACAAACCCAACTCATCATACATGTGGATTGATTGAACTGAGTTATAACCAAGGTTTTAAAAAGCGGCCGCAACCGTTACGTAACGCCGTTACGTAACAGTTTTGGTGGTGATCGCCACCCGTTACGGCCGCTTTTGCAGTGTGATTGAGATTCACAGGTATGTCAGCCATAACGGTGCCATAACAGCCGTAACGGCCTGTTACGCACCGTTACGTAACGGTTCCAAATTGTTTCTTTCTAAAAAACACACACAAAAAAACTGAAAATGGGGGAAGAGAGATCGAAAGAAGAGGGAAGATAAAGAGAAAAAATGGAGCAAGAGATAGAGAGAGGGAAGATGAAGAGCATGTTATTGATTTGTTGAAACTGTAAGACCTATGCTATTCTATTCAGCCGCTATCACTAAACCATTTTGTTTGTGTGTGTCTAACTATATATTGTTTGAAAATAATAATAATAATATGGTCATTATCTATTTGGCTTGGTTAAAATATGTATATATATATATTTAGGCTCTTATTTATTCTCTTACTTTTATCATTGTTTATCTTATATATAATAGTTAATGATTGATTTTTTGTATAATATAAAGTCATTAATTATTAAAATAAAATGTAAAAAACTCAGTTTATAGTGATTTAAAAATATGAAATATATTGAATCATACTTAAAAATTTACAAAAATTTATCAATATTTATTTTTAACCCAATAAATATGATCATGGAAAAAAAAAATATGCGTATCAGTAAGTTTTTTTCAAATTGTGCAAAAAATAAAAAAATTCACGGTTTCGGTTACCACAACCGTTACATTACGGCCTTTACACCCTGCAACCGCAACCGCGTCACCGCCACCGTTACGGCGACTGCAACCACTTTTCAGAACCTTGGTTATAACTGTTGGTATCTGTATAATCACCACCACGTGGTAAGGATTTCGAAGTGGTGAGCCAGCTTGGCGCTACGTCATGTCCAGATTGGTTATTGGGCTTAATCAAGGGCACATAAACCACCAAGAGCTTGGTCAGCTAACACACTTAGCATCTTAGTATCAAACCATGGAGCCAAGGAAAGAGCCCATAGCATCTCAAGTCTCTATTTTATCTCCACATGGACACAGCATGGGGCATCCCAAGGTATCTCCAACTCCAAGGTATGGCCAAAGCACCTCTCAACTAGGCCAATGATTCTCCGCTCACCCACAACCCCGCTATGGCATGGCATCTCCTTGGCTCAATGTCACGGGCTGACTTCTTTAGAGGCACAACAGAACAATTTTTTGCCCGTGTGGCGCTTAAACTCCACCAAGTTTAAGCCCACCATAGTTCATTGACAAATCAAGTGTTGATGATCTCACCCATTTGGAACATTAGGCCCCAATGCTTTGTCGAGTGGAACGACTCCCAAAGGAAGCTTTGTCTTCACCCGGATGCCACAAGTAGGCCTAACACCTCAAGTGCACCAAGCACGGCACAAGTCGCTTCGCTTCATAGCACTGTAGACACAAATTTTGAAACGTGAAGTGTTTCAACACATTTCAAAATTCATGTCACAAATGTCCACTATTTAGTTTTTGGACTAAACAATATTGATTATTTGAATAGCAAGTTCCTATTTTCGATCTACATTTCAGATCGTTAATTACACATTCTATTTAAATGAAACCTCCGATTAATGAAGAACTAAAAAAAATTAACAAAAGACAAATTAAGGAAAAGAAATATTTTATTGAAATTGTAGAGATTTAGAACCCTTAGATACAAAATACAATAGTTGGGTTTGAAACCCTTTACCTAACGCTTGCCATCGTATCAGATGCTTGTAGTGTAGTGTAATTAGCTCTTAATTTCTTTTTCTCTCTCTCTCTCTGATCTTCTGACTTTTGATTTTTTCACCCCCTTTTTGTGTGATGATCCCTCATAGTTATAGAGGGTTATCCAAGTAGTAAGAGGGTCTCATCCTCAATTTGAATTTCAAATTCAACAATAACGCCATTTGAATTTTTATTGACAGCGCCGTTTGAATAATCATATCTGATTAACCATCTATCTAATTTTATGAACACATGGGGTATTTGTTTATTTGAATTTAGGCGTAATCATATATGATTAATCCTTTGGATTTCATCCCATGTGGTGTCCTTACTCTAAGCTCTACAGGTGTCATCTTTCGTTGGCTCCACGTGTCATTTGAGTATCTTAAATAACATCGCTGAGATACGATGCTGTTTTATTTATGCACTTTAACGAATCAAGTTGATCATTTTATGAAGTGATTACCTACAACAATCCTACCATAAGTTCTATGTGTGTCATTAGCTGATTGACCATATTTGAAATTTGAACATAAATTTGGTTGAAATTTATGTGCCAACAAGCGCCAAGCTTATCTTAAGCAAGGAGCTCACCCAACTTACGTTCATGTCATCAAGGTGCCTAGCCACACAACAATGTGCTAGCAAAGGCTCTCGACTTAGCCGACAAGCAAACATTGCATGTTGGGTCTTTGACAGCATCTCAAAGTGTCATAGGGTCAAGCATGCCTCAATTGATGCATACCGGGTAGCCACATTGTCACGCAAAGCCCATAAGACACCGAGAGTCAATAACTTGCCCACAGCATAGTCCTCGTGCCTACACGTGTGCAATGGCGGAGGCACTAACGGACCAGGGGGGTCACGTGCCCCCTAACATGTCAAAATTTTATTTATTTATTTATTTATTGGTCTTAGCAAAACACTGACACACAGCCCCAAACCAAACATTGTCTTAATTTTTTTTTTTTTTTTTTTTGGGTCCTAGACTCCTAGCTAAACACTAACACACAAACACTGATATTCTAATTTTTTTTTTTTTTTAGGTCCTAGACTCCTAACTAAACACTGACACACACAAACACTGATACAGCCCCTTCCCTCCCCCCCTCCAATTTCCAAAGTCCCAATTTTTTTTTTTTAATTATTAACTGCTAGGCAAGGGTCAATCTAAAAAAAAAAAAATTGTTGGGCAAGGCTTTCAACGGCAACGGACAAGATCTCTAAAACTCTAAAAGTGTATGAAGTTCGTTATTTTTTTTTATTTAATCACAGTACTTGTTAAGTGTCTCTATATTTTCTTTGTCTCCCTTTGTTGCTTTGCAATTTACCAACTCGTGATGCACCAGATTGGAATCACACAACACAAATTTGGGACCACACTACAACCTTGGTGTCTTCTCTTCATTGTTTACAAGTAACTTTATTTATTATTTTTTATTTTTAAATAAAAATTATGAGTATTAATTTATAGTTATTTGTTAAGTTTTGATTTGTAAAAAAAAATTATTTGTTATTATTTAAAATAAGAGATTTTGATAGTTAAAATTATAAATCTTGATTGGTGGTGATTTATATTAAAATTAGGAATTTTGGTTTGTTGTTGTTTGTGTTAAAATTAGGGATTTGATTTGGGCTAAAATTAAAAATATTAGTTTGTGCTAATATTAATTTTTGTGTTTAATATTAACTCGAAAAATTATTATTATGTAATTGTTATTAATTGGGGGAGAAAAATTTTGAGATTATAATTAATTGGTGCCCCCCCTACATTAAATTCCTGGCTCCGCCACTGACTGCCAATCCTTTTTTACATGTGTTAGATTCTGCCTAAGGCCATTACGCACCTTAGAGTTGCACCAATGTGTCGCTCAAGTAAGGCAACATGTCAATCCATAGCTCGCTTATAGCATACTGTCATCCATCAACGGATTTATTAAATATATAGCTTGATGCCTTCATTCGATAGCCCACATATGTGGCGTTGTCTTCCAACCGCTTAGCTTAAGCCACGGAATCCCCACATACAAGGTTGAACCCAAACCATGCACATGAGTTGGCACACGAGGCCTTTAGTGGTGCCTTGATAGCCCATTTGGTCTAGAACAATCCCCAAGATGCCATAACATGTGGCATAATGGAAGCAACATCCCAAGCCTCGCGCCTGGGAGGCACGCGCAGTGCTTACATTTTTGCAGCACCCATGGGGCTCTCAAACACAAATGGAGACTCTAGACATCTCTTTGGTTGCCTAAAGCCCACCTTTACGTTGCCCCAAGGTTGCTCGCTTCAAGCCCGGTTTGGGCAAGGAGGCAGGTAGGTAGCACACACTTCTTAAGCCCTTAACAAACTAGCAAAGAGGAAACATGCCTTATGCTTGAAGAGTCATAATGATTTTTCAAGAATTCCACAAGTGGAGAAAAATCACAAAACTTGGTCAGGAAAACAATTCTCCCAAGACCTCTTTCCAGTTAAAATTTCAGCCCAAAACTCCTTCATTTGGACCCTCAAACAAAGCCCCAAACAATCTGCCAAGTTGGCTGCTGGCGCTGGTCCTGCTGTTGAGTTGCGGCCTGGGCTGCGTTGTTAGACTATTATTAAGCGAAGGCCTAAATTAGTTTAGTGAAGCCTTATTCTCCTCCTGAGCCGCGACCTGGTCTGTCTTGGGCTGGCGGCTGGGCTATGGCCACACTACTTGGGCATGCTGCCGGCTGCATAATGGCATGTTCACCTTGGGCTGTTTGGGGCCAACCTTGGGGCCACGTTGAGGCACCGAACCACCAACTTGGAATCTCGATGCCCATCACCTAAGCACTTCCAAGGGCCACTCTTGAGCACTAAAATAGTCACACCACCACATGCGAAACGTCACAGAGTTGACCTTGCAAGGCAACCCATGACAGCCAGGTGATTCTCCATCAGGGTATGACCCATTATGCTTCATTCCTCTCCTCAATGGTTTCTCTTTTGTATATTGAAGCCATCTCCTCACCCCCTTCTGATTGCCTAGGCCAGGAGCAAGGCCCAGAAACTCCGTTTTGGATCACTGACAGTTAAAGTTCCATCAAGGTGCCTTAACACTTCCTTCCTCAAAGACGGGGGCTGCAACTTGAGCAATCTTATAGGGAGAGGTTTAGACCAAAACATATGACTCTCCAAATAGTGTCATACCTACAGGCAATCACTGAAATGCTACAGTGCAAACCCCATGATCTGCCATGGGCATAAAAAATAGGTAAGATACCTCCAGATTGCCAAACATAGAAGGGTTGAGCCACCTGCCCATGACTGAGATGTCCATCATGGTTCAATTCCCCTGCATTAGGATCTCCATGCATACGTTGAGACATTCTAAACCATCCTTCAGTTTCTCCAGCAAGAGCAAGATATTCATTGACATACTCTTTCTCTAATCTAAGGTTGTCTGGGCTCTCACTTCCTTTACTTCCAATGATCCAGTGCCATCTCAGTGTCTACCATTTTCCTGAAAAGCTATTCCCCAACCACCTCACCATACACCATCCGCAATAACATATCAAAATTGTTCACTATTAGTATCACTTAGGGGGTGTTTGGGAAGAAAAAAAATAGCCTAGTTTAGGCTAAAAATCACAAAAAGACAAAATAGGCTAAAATAGCTAATAAGACAAAATATCACATCAAACCCATAATCATTTCACTTTTTCTCTCACAAACATCACATCCAACCACAAAAAAATCCAATCATCTTCCCAAACACAAAAATTTTAGCCTACTAAAATAGCCACTTCCCAAACGAGGCCTTAGTTGCATTTCATGCTGGACAAGACAGTCCAATATTGAAGTGATACTCTGTAGCTCATTCTATTATTAACTTCACCACAAATAGAGACTTACCTAACCCAATTTGGTAGTTGGATCAGATTATTTGAAGTTATAAATGCCTTTGTCTTAGTGTTTATACATGCATCAAGCAATATCAAATGTTTGATCAGGCATCAAGGTAGAAAGGGTAATATTGTGATGATTCCAATATTTTGTTTAATAATTTATCTTGTCCTATTTTCTTAATCAATGTTTAGTTTGCATACCATTCTGATAAATAAAAAATAAAAAAAATAAAAAACTTAATCAGTGGAAAATAATTTTCATATTTGATTAGGTATGTGACAATGTTGGGAAGTGTATGATTTGAATATATAAATAAAAAAATTAGAGAGAGAGAGAGAGAGAAATTCCCAAAAAAATTTAAGGGAAAACATTTGCAAATGTTCTGGAAACTCTAGACTCCATAGAAAGTTGTAAATGCTTGGCAAACAATGGAAAACTTTCGGGAATGTGAATCCCTCAAATTGTTTTATATATATATATATATATTTTTATGTGTTGCTTCGATAAATAATCCTTAATGTTTATTGGCCCAAGGTTTTTTGATACCTCACTAAACATCAAAATGAAGTCTTTGTGGTAAGTTTTTTTTTTTTCTTGTTTTTTAAGATTCTCTTGGTAGACATAGACCTTAGGCCACATTATGCTTGACATATGTACCTTAATTTCTTTGATTTGTGTTCCCTAACTTGAGCCATCATCCAAATTTTCTAGTGTTTTTGTATTTACCACAGTATTTCATATCTATCTATACTATTATTAAGTGAATACTATTATTAAGCGAAGGCCTAAATTAGTTTAGTGAAGCCTTATTCTCCTCATGCCATGTGGCAACTTTATATATGCTAAAATAAAAAAATTATTATACACAACGTAAGCAAATTTTGAACCCAATACCTTGGGTTTCATTAACAACATACTTATCACTTAAACAACATACATATTATGATATTAAATTCTTTATTATTTATTTTAATTATTAGTTATCTGAATTGCACACGCATCGCATGTGCCGCCCACTAGTAGATTTAATACAAACTTATGGAAGATTACTTTGCCTTGCACAAACAATGCAAACCAGAAACAAAACACATTAAAAAGAAAACTGAAACCCTAGATCTTAACCCTATGTCCTGCAATGCAAATACAAATTAGTATGACAAATCATAATAAAACTACCTAAAATCCTTCATAAAATGCAATTAACAAAAAATAAATAAAAAGGAAACCCTAGCTAAAGTAATTGCAGTTTTGGATTCACAGAAACAGAACCTCAAATCAAGATTACCCAGCAAAGCTAGAACACATCTGTGTATTCATATACACAATTAAACATAGAAGCGTGCGATTAGGAAGGAAAAGGAATGGAGTTTCTGAGACTTTACCTATGGAGAGATTGCAGAGGGGGTGGCAACGAAGGAAAGCAACTTGAGAGATTTCTTTTTATTTTTCTATTTTTGGTGTTAATAGCGATCGCTTCGTTGCGTTTGTAACTAACTCATAAACTTCCCGGGGATATCGGTGCCGTCACTCAAATGTTCATCAGACGTGGCGATTTTTGATTGATTGGGTGGGCGGGAATAAACGTCCAGCTAATAATAATTGAGTCAAACTTGGCTTGCAACTTTGGGTTGGCGGTTCTTTAGCCTATTTTAGAAAGTGGGTTAAAAGGTTAAAAAAAATTTTTGAAGTTTTTTTTTGAAATTATTCATTTTTTGATAAATTTTTGTATCTTAATCGGTATTAAGTGACATTATTTTTATTATTTTTTAAATTTTTAATATAAATATAGTGAATTTTATTATCAAAATCAATCATAATAATAAAATGAAAAATTATCAGAAAGTCTTATATACCAAACTGTTACTCTTTATGGTCCTAAATTGAATCTTTTGGATTGGCAAGTCCTATTTTGCACCTTTGTTAAACAAGCAAGTCCCATTTCAAATTATGTGAGGTGTGACTAGACTGATTTGCCCTTTTTTGTTATTGGCATGTACATGTATGATGGGATTCAGTGCATATTTTGTGGGATACGTTGCTCTGTCACATTTGGCAAGTTGGATCCTATGTTTATGGGTGTGGCATTTTCGTGGGTCGGACTGAAGGCTTATTGTGAGTTAGCAAAATAGGGTTTCATTGTTTTTTGCTGGTGGTGAGAGCTGCTACAGTCGTCAACGTTCGCTATCATTGCAGGTACATATTACGTGTATATCTTTTTCATAGCTAACACGTCATTTGCCCTGCAGATGACGTGTGTTCATTACCACATTTGTACGTCCTTCACACTGTCCACAATTGTTCTACTTATGTTTTTATCGCGAAGTATCTGCCTCTGATTTTTACCCTTCCCACACCGTCCGTGCGGGGGGTGAGACGATCCAGTTTTTATTCAGTTCATTACTGTATTGATTTTGTTTTGGTACTTTTTCTGTTTTTTTACATATATAACATGTGTTTGACACATGTCAGTGTCTGTGATCGTAGGTATGGAAGAGAGTTTGATGTTGTTGTGTTCTTATCGGAACATTAACGCAGCCTACAATCTTCGGGATCATTGCACGTTTGCCGACTTAGGCGATTTCCTGTGTTCGAAGTTCAGCGGGATAGGTCCCCGTAATATGGGATTGTCGTACAACATTCCAGGTTTAAAGAGTCTTACTTTACAAGATGATGTGGATTTGGGAAACCTTGTTATTCTTACCCAATCGTTCGGGTTACAACATGTTTGTGTGTTGGTTGAACAGCACGGAAGGTTGGATAGCGTAAGTGTGTACACCGAACAACAGAATATGCAACCCAACCCTGTGGCCGGAATAATTGTTAATGACCAAGGAGAAAGTGATGACGAGGTTGATTTGTTGCTTGATTTCTGCCCGCACAAAAATAAAGTATTACTGACTGAATCATAGGCGCGGGGGTTAACCCACGTCGGGCAATGCTTTAAGGGGGGTGCACACAAATTTCGTACGGTTTTGTGCAAGTATGTTGTGGAGTTTGGGTTCAATTTCAGATATGTTAAGAACGATTCCGTACGAGTAACAGCAGTCTGCTCCATGTTGGAGGAAAAGGGATGCACGTGGTCTGTACATGCTCGGGTGTTGAAAGTGAATCAATTTTTCTACATTCGGAAATGGAACAGTGTGCATAGTTGCGGTGTATCAGTCCGGACATCAAATCATCCAATGGTTGGATCTGATATAGTTGCTGACATTATCGCAGCTCGTGTTCGGGACAGACCACTCACACGTCCAACTGATGTCGTCTTAGATTTGAAAGACGATTACGGGTTGGACGTCAACTACCGGGTTGCGTGGTTAGGGGTTGAGAAGGCAAGGGGGAAATTGTTTGGCGCGCATTCTGTATCATTCGACCAACTGCGTTGGCATCGTGAAGCCGTCATGCAATATAATCCTGGGAGTTATGTTGACTTCGATTACGATGAACACAACTACCGTTTCCGCCGTTTTTTTATATCATTTAAAGCATACATTGATGGTTTCCTTCATTATCGTCCATTACTTTTCCTCGACGGAACCTTCTTGAAAGGCAGGTTCAAAGGGTTTCTGCTAACTGCCACCGCGAAGGACGGTAAGCAAGGTGTGCCTCATTTCACTTTTAAAACATTGTATTTTTATGGTTCGAAATATTGTACACGCTAATCATATTCTCATCACTTTTTGTAATAGGTTTGTTCCCACTTGTTTATGCCATTGTGGGCTCTGAAAACAATGCGAATTGGGGATGGTTCTTACAACATCTTGCCAACGTGGTACCCAGTGAGAGGACAATCACTTTCGTGTCTGACCAAAACGTGGGACTCATAGAAGCAATTCCTATATTTTTCCCCACATCTCACCACGCATTCTACCTCCAACATTTACAAAGAAATCTGCGGGATAGACTACGGTATGTGAACAGCAAGTATCGGATTGGACTGGTCAGCAAATTTCGTAAGTGCCCATACGCACCCACCATAACAACATTTAACCAAAAGGCTGACGAATTTCAAAAATCTGGAAAAACCATTGCTACGAAATTCCTTGCGGATGCACATCCACAACACTGGGCGAACGCGTTTTTCAAGTACGTATATTCCTGTTACGCAACGGAAACATGAACATACCCAACAACAAACGATCATGCTTACTTGTTAACTTCTAACAGCATGCATCGGATTGGACTGGTCAGCAAATTCTGTAAGTGCGCATACGCACCCACCATAACAACATTTAACCAAAAGGCCGACAAATTTCAAAAATCTGGAAAAACCATTGCTACGAAATTCCTTGCGGATGCACATCCACAACACTGGGCGAACGCGTTTTTCAAGTACGTATATTCCTGTTACGCAACGGAAACATGAACATACCCAACAACAAACGATCATGCTTACTTGTTAACTTCTTTTTGCCCTTGGCATTTGTAGAGGTAGAAGATACGGCGAAATAAGCTCTAACGCCGCCGAGTCATTCAATTCTTGGATTCGAGAAGCACGGTATTTACCAATCACCAGAATGGTTGACAGCATCAGGGGTCAGATTATGCGACAAATGTCGAAGCGGAGGGTATCAGCCCACACATGGACTGGCACAATTTGTCCCAAGATGGAATCCCGGCTGGAAGAAGATTATAACAAAAGTCGGGCATGGAAAAGTGAGTCAAGCGAATAACGACGTGTACGAGGTCCATTCATTCCCTTCTGTTATGGTGGACATCGGCAGACGTACATGTTCATGTTTCCAGTGGCAAATAAACGAGTTTCCATGTGCGTATGCTATTGTTGCAGTGCGAAAAAGCGGAAAAAACCTTGACGACATAGTCGTACCTTGGTACCATGTGTTCGAATACCGTCTGACGTATGCACCCACCATCTACCCAATACCAACTGTGGAAAAACCACCATTCAGCCCCACCGACTACATCATTTACCCACCAAATGTCAAACATCCGCCTGGGAGGCCGAAAAAGAAGAGAATACCGTCTAAAAGTGAGAATGTGCAACAAATACGGTGTGAAAGGTGTAGTTATATGGGAAACCACAATAGGAAGACTTGCAAAGAACCCATTTAGACGTAATCCCAAAACGTCGACAAGCCAATTTATATTAGTACGATTTAAGTGGTTGCGTGCATCGTGCATACCATTAAATAAGAATGTGATACTCACATACAATTCAGTATTTAAACAATTTATTATATGAATTTTTTTGTTCGCCTACAAGTTCCATTTGATTACAATTGTTGTAGCGTTCTAACCTTCAGGAAAATATACTTTGCCTACCTTCGCTTAAGCCGTATATTACTGTTGTCATAGTTTTTGTGTTTGAACACAAGACTGCAAACCGTGCCTACATGTACTATGCGTACCTGTTCGCGCACATCTCACTAACACACTGTCACGCATATTGTCAACCCCTTTCACACAATCACACCTAAATTATGTTAATGCACCACAATGGACTGGAACGTGTGTCTTATATAACTAGTAAACCAATGTCAGTCTGAATGGATTGACACATTATCCATCAACCAGTCACATTATACCTGATTGAATGTCCCAGTGCATAACTCAGGGAAAAAAACAGACAACATACTTTGCGAATAACCACATCATTCATCAAAATACGCACACATTACACAAAATTACAACCAAAACATAACATAATATTTTCCAAAACTATGCCACCTAACTACAGCCAGAATGAAGTACACGCCAAAAACTACTACTCAACGTCGTATTACATACACATTAACTCAAACAACAGCATCCCACATCAAAACAAATCAATGTCGTGCATATTGTCAACCCCTTTCACACAATCACACCTAAATTATGTTAATGCACCACAATGGACTGGAACGTGTGCCTTATATAACTAATAAACCAATGTCAGTCTGAATGGATTGACACATTATCCATCAACCAGTCACATTATACCTGACTGAATGTCCCAGTGCATAACTCAGAGAAAAAAAGCAGACAACATACTTTGCGAACAACCACATCATAAATCTAAATACGCACACATTTCACAAAGTTACAACCAAAACATAACATAATATTTTCCAAAAATATGCCACCTAACTACAGCCAGAATGAAGTACACGCCAAAAACTACTACTCAACGTCGTATTACATACACATAACTCAAACAACAACATCCCACGTCAAAACAAATCAATGTCGTGCATATTGTCCACCCCTTTCATACATTCACACCCAGCTGACGTTCAATGCACCTCGAAGGACTGGAACATGTGCATCACTTAACTTGCAAATCAATGTCAGCTTTGATTCAGACATTATCCATCAACCAGCAACATTATACATGACTGGATGTCCCAGTGAATAACTCAGAAGAAAAATCTGTACATCACAAATTGCGAACAACTACATCAGTCATCACATTACGCATACATTCCACAGAATTCCAACCAAAATATATCATAATATTTTCCAAAAAATGTGCCAGCTAATTGAAGTCATAGTGTTGTACACGCCCGTCACGTGTTAATTCAAGACAAAACATCCAACACACTAACCTAACAATATGAACAAACCATAGCCTGTGCTAATAATATAATGTGCATAACCAAAAAGATAATTATTTGCGCATTGTAGCGTACGCAATCTTAAAACCCCATATTCGAACTAGCTAATATTATAACTATATACTAGTATATGCATCCCTACACACCCTCAATCAGTCAAGATCGCTCTTCAATCCACGCACCGGATCATTCACGAAAGACTTTACCATGATCGCCTGCAACACTGCCACCTAACTACAACCAAAATGAAGTACACGCCAAAAACTACTACTCAACGTCGTATTACATACACATTAACTCAAACAACAGCATCCCACGTCAAAACAAATCAATGTCGTGCATATTGTCCACCCGTTTCATACATTCACACCCAGCTGACGTTCAATGCACCTCGAAGGACTGGAACATGTGCATCACTTAACTTGCAAATCAATGTCAGCTTTGATTCAGACATTATCCATCAACCAGCAACATTATACATGACTGGATGTCCCAGTGAATAACTCAGAAGAAAAATCTGTACATCACAAATTGCGAACAACTACATCAGTCATCACATTACGCATACATTCCACAGAATTCCAACCAAAATATATCATAATATTTTCCAAAAAATGTGCCAGCTAATTGAAGTCATAGTGTTGTACACGCCCGTCACGTGTTAATTCAAGACAAAACATCCAACACACTAACCTAACAATATGAACAAACCATAGCCTGTGCTAATAATATAATGTGCATAACCAAAAAGATAATTATTTGCGCATTGTAGCGTACGCAATCTTAAAACCCCATATTCGAACTAGCTAATATTATAACTATATACTAGAATATGCATCCCTACACACCCTTAATCAGTCGAGATCGCTCTTCAATCCACGCACTGGATCATTCACGAAAGACTTTACCATGATCGCCTGCAACACACTGCAGTTGCCCCCATACAACAATCTTCTAACTTCTACATGGCGCACGTACTGGCGCATCACTGCAAAGACAATGATAGCACAGTCAAGCCTGTCCAAATATATCACATCGCATGTTACTAACGTCGCAGGTATAAATTAAGACAATTCATGTATTGTACCAGGTCAAGTCGGGGGGAAAATTAAAATGTGCTTAGGATTCGGCACGCTGTTGGGGACAGTCCACCACTACTTCTAACGGTGGGTCATACTCCTGAGTATCATCCGAGTCATTTCCAATGGTTTGCCTCTGCACCTCTGACACAATGTTTTTCTACACCACCACATACATACGTCAGCCAACACAGTTTACATGTTCACACACAGACCCACAAATATTGACATTTACAAATGTTTACCAGGGAAAGCACCTCCATGTAGTGTACGTCCATAATTCCGCTCCTCGTCCTCATCGAATTAAAATGCTTCCAACTCTCATCCTCAGTGTCATACACGACCAGCGTCCAGTGTGAGTCTTTGCAAATCGGGAAATGTAAGTAATGGAAGAGCTTAGCTGCATACAGGTTGTCCAGCACATACCTATTCCTTGAGCGTACGTTGTTGTTTTTCATCATATCCTGCATCACCACGCAAACATGTTACACATTATGACATCCCATAACCAAACATATCATCTACAACCACAAACTTACTATACATATACTACTGAAGAAATAAGATTTGTCTGCAGCATCAACGCCCTCATTTATCCTCTCCTGCTCAACACTTAATAGCACAGCATATGCATCGATCACCTGTGACATTTTCACATGTTCGATTATTGCATGGTTGGTAAAAAAAATATATGAAAAAAAACAAAACACATTGCATAAATACCTTTCTACGCGACTTACATTCCCCCATATCTCAGATTGGTACACAAGAGATTTCACATTGGTGAAATACATAGCAACACCGTGACCCTGCCCGTCCCACATCACAGCACTGCACAAAACACAAAACACATGTCATCCACTACAAAACATATTAGGCTAGCAACGCATAACCAAAACACTTTACATGTACATACCTATCACCATCCCTGTTATATGCATCGGTTATCTTTTTCTTCTCCTCAGCTGTCATCATTTTCCACACCGCGTGTCTGTTGTTAATGTCAAATCCTGATTTCTTCTTTCGATGTACGTCCACATCGTCCACATCAATTACATCTGTGCTACCACTGTTTCTGGCATTGCATACTACATTATTTGTAGATAAAGGAACATGCACCACGTTTGAATTGCTCATCGGCCCACTTACACCCAAGCACTCAATCCCTGTCACTGTTAACCCCTTTTTATCTTTGCGTTTGACATCCCATACAAATGAATTTTTTCCAAACATTCAACCTACCACCTTTAGCCATGTTTGGACTAATAACCACCACCTCTATTCCAGCTATTACACCATGCTGCATTTCATTAACACTGTTGGCCTGTTCCCTTATTGGCGTGACATCTCACACTGGAACTGCATCCCCAATCACTGCAAACATTCTGTTTGGGGTCGTATTGTTTGTTAGGTCTGTAACTTGTTCGTTTCCCATCAAACCATAGTTCACACCCTCTATATTCACATCTACTGCATGAAACGCTTGAGTCACGTTATGCATTTCGCGCTTAGCAAGCTGCTCCTTCAAAACATTGATTGCCCTTTGCAATTCAGCGTTTTCAGTTGTGAGTTTCTTTACCTCATCGTCCTTATTTTGCATCAAGCAACCAAAACCTCCAACAAGATGCAACGTTTGCACCTCATTTGCCTGCCTCAATTTGTCCACTTCTGCACGTAAATCTGAAATCACTTTGTCTTTCTCGGTGATTTGCATTTCCAGTTCTGCAATTTTCTCCGTAGCATAAAAAACGTGTATCCCAACATCCACTACGTCCTTCCCTGCGTTTCGTGGAACATTACTGATTGGTGTCTGAAAATGAACCGAAGACGAACCCCGTTCCACATTTCTACCATAAATTCGTACGTCCCCACTCATTACATTCGCATCCATTCCCATATTCACAAAATCATCTTCATCCACAAAATCATCCTCATCCACACTACCACTAAAATCTTCAACTGCATTTCCAGCAGGCCTAGTGCAGCTTACCCCATTCACCTCAAAAATATTAGCCTCATACTCTTTCATAATCAAACGTCCAGATGTTACCTATAAACACAACATAACAAAGTCATGAACAATTTTGAAACGATGTCCCGTATAACATAATCATCACTACCAGTTATTATTACCTCGAAACCGACACGCCCTGATAGATTGACCCCACGTGCAGCCGTTACTAATGTGGCAACATCCCATTTCATGAACCTGGGAAATGCAACTGCAGATTTGGGCGATATGATCGTTGAAAGCTCACAAAGCCAATACTGTACCCCACATCAAACAGCATAATTAACAAGGTGCAAATTAGTTACATGACTACACCACGTACAACATATAACAAATCGCTTGCAATTAATGGGACAGCTAAGAAAAAAATTACAAGCACACGTACCATCAATGTGACGACACATCCGGTGACTTTTTCAGGTGTTCAAT